AGGAGTACGAAGCAAACTTCTTTCTTATTTATCAAAACTTCAGCTCGTTTTGCTTGGCATAGCGTAGGCAACATCATTGTGAGAGGAACAAGCTGTTTTGAAAATTGAGTTACGTATTTGTTCAAGCACATCTAACTCTTAAGCAGATCAAGTTATTGTCGTAAAGGTAAGTCGGCTGTTGTCCATTACAAATTTAACCGTTTCTAATCAAATAGAACAGATTGAGTACATTCCTTGTAGAGGGTCCTTTTTCACGGTAAGTAACATGACGGTAAAAAATTGTGATTTTGGGCCGATTCTGAAAGAAAAAGGAAATATCTCATCCGACATCCTACACAAATAAGACAAATATAAGCAAACAGAACGTTCATCGATGATAAAAACCTGTATATCTCTTCTGATGAGTTCCAGTTCCTAAATAATAATTTGATTAAAGATAGACAAGACTCACAAACTCAGTCGTTGGCTCTGGCCTCAAGAGTCTCCCAGTACCTACAAATTAGTCCAAGAGAACTCTATATTAATTAAAAATGTTGGCAATCTAAGGTTTTCTTGAATAGAGATATTATAGTTTGTTATCCTAACAGTTGCTTTGTCAGATAACTCTAAAAAACCTGTTAGTTATGCTGCAAAACTGGTGTGATGGCTGGATTCATGGTGTCGTCGCCCCGTGCACTGAACGTGCCGATCGCCATCTCTCTCGGAATCCTATTTATTTCTGTTTTCCTACTTCCCTTTACTCGTTTGCAATGCGGGACGGCAGTCTGCTCTAACTCCTTCGAGACTTACCACCCCCCGCCGTCTCACTCGCTGTCTCTCACCAAACCAACACATTTTTTTCTCGCATCCTCATTGATCGACGCCATAAGTGACAAAGTGAAGTGTAGCAACCCAGAAACAAAGGATACTGCTGCATTTCCGTTGTTTTCTACCACAACAGGACACAACCCCGACCTAACCACTTTTAAGTGCCTTTTGACTCGCCTTCGAAAGCAACGCACACACCGCGGGATGATTACAGCGAGCGCTTGACGCGTTCAGCTATTTTTTTTTGTGTCCCCTATAGCGCTGACGCTTTTGTTGCCGTCGCGAGTTGCACGTGACGGCAGGCGAGGCACTCCGTACGCGCCGTGTC